GGTTGAGGTTATTGTGAAGTGTCTTTTACTGCTCTTTTTTCCCCTCTAGAGGATAAATATATTTTGTTTTTTTAGTAGAGTTTGTATTGTATTTTTAACCACAAGTTACCATTAGATTCTCAATCACTTCATACCAAAAAAAAAATACCTTTTTATTTCCTTTTTTTCTTATAAATATACACCACTTGAAGGAATACTCTAATAATACTCCATTTTATTTCATTTTAGCAATTTTCTCCATGAAGTCTATTATAGGGCAAGTTTTTGAAAGCGTTCGTGAAAGAGTTCTTGATCCAGTTTCTAAAAGAATTAGTGAAATAGCTTGTGAAAAAATTCTTGGAGTTGTAGGAGAACACGTAGATTGTCACATAAACTTCCAAAATTATGTGGATGATCTTAAAAAAGGAGTGCGAGACTTAAAACGTAAAAGAGGTGATAAAGAAGCAGAATTAAGAATAGTGGATCACTCAGAAAAAATGGTCAAAGAAGAAGTGCAAGGATGGCTTGAAGGTGCAGGAAAGGTCATTGATGAGCTAGATATTGAGGAAGAGGTTGAAAACGTTTCATACCTGTCACAGGGTAGCCTTGGAAGACGTGTTCGTCAAAAGACGCAAGAGGTGAAAGAAATTCACAATCGAGGCAATTTCACTGAAGGTCTTGTAATTGAAAGGCCTCCATCTATTGGAATCCCTTTGCCAACAGAGAATATGGTGGGCAAGCTTGATGTGAAGGAAAAAATTCGCGGATACCTGAGAGGTAGTGAGGGAATGATTGGAGTTTGTGGAATTAGTGGAATTGGCAAAACTACTATTATGAAACACATCCATAATGAATTATTGAATGAGGCTACGCAGTTTGAAAAGGTCATCTGGATCACACTATCACATCCATTCAATGTTGTAAGATTACAAGGCGACATTGCAAGAAAAATGAACAAAGGCCTTCGAGAAGATGCAGATGAATTGGAGCGGGCATCAAGATTGATGGAGATTATGAAAACAGTGAAATATGCATTGATCTTAGATGATGTGCGGGATAAATTTACTCTTACAAGAGTTGGAATTCCAAAACCAACAATGGAAAATGGGTGCAAAATTGTTATTACTAGCAGATCAGTTGATGTGTGCAACTACTTGAGCTGTCAAATAGTTAATGTGCCACCTCTTTCAAAGGAAGAGTCTTTCAACTTGTTTTTAGATGAGGTTGGGTCTGATGTTCTACAAATTCCCAATTCAGATGAGATTGTGAAGCTTATAGTGCATAACTGTGCTGGTTTGCCGTCTGTCATTGTTGGCATTGCTAGCAGAATGAGAGGAGTAAAAGATATTTGTGAGTGGAGAAATGCATTACTTGAGTTGCCTCAATAATAGCATGGGAGAAAAGGAAGGAAATTAAAACAACTATTGCAATAGTCACTCTTCCAACATTAAGGAAACTGTGTTTGAATTGTTTACCATAAGAATATTCTCTTACCTTTCCTGAATTGCTAGTATAATATATTTTTATTTATTTTTCTTTTATCTCTGTTTCCCGTCACTTGCGTTCCATTCTCTATGATACTTCATAAATAAAAGCTTCTCTTTTTTTACAATATTTTTGCTTCAGAAACAAATGTGATTCTTGGTTTGAAGGACTTGAATTTTTTTTTTTTTTAAGGGACATCAAAGGACTTAAAATGTTTTTTTTTTCAATGGAAAGGACTCAAAATGTTAATCACAGTTGATTTACTTGTATGATGTTCATTTCTTACTAAGAAGTTGTTGAATGAATAAAAATTTTAAATAAATGAAAATTAATTTTTAATGATTGGAAAAAAAATTCAAAGCCGTTACTCATTATAAAGTTTGATAAATCACTTAAAAGACTCTGCACACTGGAAAAGAAACGAAGGATGGATCTTGATGATAATGAGGCGATCTGTGGCCATAGATGTCGGGGGTGGTGGCCGAAAACAAAGACGGTGAACGAAGGGTGAGTTGCAGAAGAGAGACGG